ATACAGCAGTTCTTGAAGGACACAGCTCATGTGGTCACATGCAGAGGGTGATTTCAACATGTTAAGTGTTTTATTGAGGTCCCTTTTACCAAAACATGAGAGCTGGGGTAACCTCCAAAGTACCCTGTAAAGGCAGAATCCACTCAGAATAAAGGACAAGGAAGGGAAAAAGTGACAAAGCAGAAGGAAGAAGCAAAATACCCAGAGCTATTAAATACTGTCCTCAGAAAAGGGCATTGTGCCTCAATGCGTTAGATGATTTCAGATCATTTCTATTTCTTTCTGATGAAAGCTCAAATAAGTGATTACAGAACAAGCATTGGAAAATATGCAGAATAGTGGCAGTACTCTTGATTGGCAATTCAACAAGTAGGAAATATAGCTCTTTAGATGCTATACTGGGAGTATTTTTCAATGCCACCACTAAGGATATGAAAGAAATAATTAAGACAATTGTAGGGAAGGGAAGAGGAGTTATGGAATATCATCTTATTATCCATATTAGAATAAACCAGGTGCAAACTACAAGTCAAAGCCTCCAGGGCTAGTTTACAGATCCCGAAAGAGCTTAAGGTGGGGTGTAAAATTGATGATCCACTCGGGAAGAAAAAAATTCCAATGCATTAGGAAAGAAATAACAAGAAAAGCAATAATTGAGGTTCCTAAGGAAGCAAATGCTGTCTGTTCTACCACAGAAGTCAGTTACAGAGTGTTCAGCTACAGTGATGGACCAACCTCCTGAGGTGTAAAAAAAAGAAAATAATCTCAAGGAGCATAGAAAAAAAAAATCCAGAGATATTATTTTTCTTCCTCCTCACTTTCTGGTCTTTGTCTATGTTGAAAAAATAAAAAAAATGTTATAAGCAAAAAACAACTAAGATGTTTTTTGAGGCACAATATCAACATACAAAATGCATCCCAATGAGAAATACAATAAAGTCGTTGAAACTTCTTATGCCATCACATTAGAAAAATGGCAAAAGTGCAATAACAGAGCAGTGAAGAATGAGCTTCACCCAAAGAAATGCTGAACAGCGGGAGCTTTTCTAGAATATTTTAGTTGAGTGTACACATCCATGTCACACCATCACTTCTTACTTAAAAACAGCTGCAGAAGGCTCCTGCTGCGGCTGCTGCCGTTAGCTGAAGCTCTGATCTTCCTGTCTTCATACAAGTCATCAAATCGCATTTCCTGCTGGAATTAAAGTAGCAGCCCCTGGGGAGTATGCAGCTACCCAATTTATATCAGAGAGAATCTGAAGCAAGCACCAGGACTTTTTCAAACTGCTTAATTTTTGTTTATTTTTTTATAACCCCCAAAATCTGATAAGAGTTTTTTCCCTCTCTTCTTTCCAGGTATTTGCATTTTGAAACAATTAAAAGAAAACACGGAGATTTTAAGACCTGTGCAGAAAAGCTAGAAGCAGGAAAAAGGTAAGGGCAATCTCAGAGGCATCAAACCAAACCATGCCTATAGCAGAGAATGATGCCTATTGCGTTGCTAGTAGTTAGATGGTACAGATGGTATGTGGAAACTATGAAGGGGATTTATAAAACAACAAAAGCTGCAGATCATGACACAGAAGTATTTTGGCTCAGAGTGAAAAGAGGAGAGCAATGGGGGAACTGTCCTGGCCAAGTGCTCCAAGCACCCAGTGCCAGGCAAGGACAGCTACAGAGTCACTGCTAAAGATTCCAGAAGTCAGAAATACAGGCAACTGGGGTTTTTTTGTTCTGTATTTCTACAGAACTTAACATGGCAAGAACCAGGTCAATGGAGTGCTCCTAACAGCTATGATAGGTTATGATAAATAAGAGTTTGGAGAAGATCACATAGCATCCCATTAAGTAGTCTCTGTAGTTAAACACAGATATCCATAACTCAAAGAAAGTCTTACGTTACCAGACATTCAACACTCCTTAGCCATCAAGCAAGGTAAAAAACAGTCTCTCTCTCGTATGTGATTCTTCTTTTTTTCTTTTGAAAAGGCTGTCATAAAGAATATCAAAACCAAGGCAAAGCTGCTCTACTTCAAAACCAAGGAACATAGAACCCTACAAAAGTACTAATCTTTTTTTTTTCCCAAAGAATGAAAAGCAAATCAAACTAGAGCATGTTAAACTGTGCATTAGAAGGGCTCTCAGTCACTTCCAAAATTACTTGAGAACACATTATAATTAGCAAAGGTATGTGACAGTTTTATACCCCTCTATGATGCATGATTAAAGCCAGGCAGCCCAGCTCTGCCACAAGTTCTGCACGCCATCAAAACAGATGTGACAAGAACTACAAGCTGCTCCCAGACAGACTGTGAGAAAGCATAGGCAGATAACATTTTGGCCATCAAAGATGTAAGACACAATACAAAACTAATTAAACCTCAAAACCCCTCGGAGAGGTAGGCAAACCATGTTTTATATGAGGTTACATGAAGCATCCTCTGCTTGAGCCCCAATGCTCCAGCCCAAGAACAAGGATGAGAACAAGCTCCTGCCTTTCTCTCTGAGGTGCAACAGGGAGTGAATTTTACAGCCTCGATATTAACAGCTCACAGCCTCAGCAGGAGGACGCAGAGCACAAATGACTGAAGAGATGCTGCAATAATGCCACCGTGATGATCTGTGAAACTGCTGATTTTTCCCACACAACACAGATACCTCCTGCCTGCAACAGAAAAGTATGGAGTCCTGGCCCACCGTGAAGAGCCAACTATAAACCCCACACAAAGTCTGCTGTCTTACATTGTCCGCTGAGTACTCAAAAATCAATTAGAGGCTAAACTCCTTACCACTAACTGGGGACAAACAGGGTACAGTAGGGAAGCTGTGCATCAGACAAGGCCAGTGCCTCTTGAACTGGGGTTAAAGGTGTTGGAAATAAATGTGAAAAGGAAGAAGGAGAATTTCAGGCTTTTGGATAAATATCCTGCAGTTGGTTTGTAGGTGTGAAACAGTGTCTTAAGTTTGTTTCTGAGAAGTGTATCCAAGCCATCATTTTTATTCTAATTTATCTACAGATTTAATGTTTAGACTACATCTTAATGCTTCTTCCTTCATGACTTGCCTCTGCATACAGCACCTTTCCCTCTGTTTCCAGATAGCCTCCCCCATTGCTTCCTCTGCAGTGCTTCAGAGCTCACCTCTCTAACATCCCAGTGGCTCCAGGCAGTTTCCCTGATCTACTCCTTCAGCCATTTCCACCACACTACTCCTGTCGTGCTCTTTTCTCGTTATACCCCTGCCCACGAGGTAGTTGCCTTCTACAGGAGGTGCTGCAGAAAGAGTGCAGCTGGTTTCTCCTCCAGGCACCTCACGCTTTCCTTAGCACAGCTGTTTGGGGGAGGTGTAAGTTCTCACAACTTCACTATGTGGCTTCACACTCCTCGGTTTCCTTGGGCACCTCTGGTACACGGACAGACACACAATAACACCCACACAGGTCCCTGCCCATGCTGCTTGTGCACCCTGACCAGGCTGCACAAAGGCACAGCTCTTCCTTCTGAGTCGGCATTGCCTCCTTGTAGATTTTGCATCTCAGAGTAAATCAAAGCTAGACCTAAATGGGCACAATCTGGGACCTACACAAAATGCTGAGTAAACATTGTTTAGCCATCACGTACATGTGTAACCTTCCCCAGACAGACAGACAACTTGCCAATGCCCAGCGACTCACCCATGACTCATCCCTGAATTCTGTGAGTTAAAACACTTGTGAAAGGGGAGGCAATTACACAATGCAATTGCTACGTGGACAGTCTTAGATGTGGAGAGTTTTAGAGAACCTCACAATGTGGAATTTATGAATTTCATAAAGGACAAATCTTCCACTGCTCACAAGGGTGAGCTGGTTATGGTGGGTGAAAACACTTAAGCCACTACTTTCTGACGATTTTGGCAAGAAGAAATAAATTTGCTGAATGTTTCTAGGCTGGATTATATTGCTCTTTGGCTATTTTGATGAAGAAGATATACATGACTGCAGTCCCTTTACAATCAATCTTCTCATCACATCAGTTTAATTCAGAGACAATAAATGCAGTACAGACGCCTGAATGTCAACATGGAAATGCAAGAGAATTTTGTTTTTATATATATACACTTGCCACTTACCTAACTATATAATTTTTGTTGAACATTATCAGTTAATTAGAAATAGAGCTTTCAATGCAAGCATCTATGGTTGTGCCTATGCACCACCCTAAGCCTCTCCACAACAGTGGGATCTTGGGGAGCAGGGTTGCTTCAAAGCAACTGCATGTGTTGCCAAACTGTCTTCATCTCCACAGTTATGCCTTGCTATTACATGATTCACAGAAGAACAAATAAAACACACTGCAACAAACCTTCGCTATCACTGGGAGCACATTTTGCTGTGTGAGTGGCGATTCCCTAAAGAATGATGTCCTACAGGTGTCTCAATTTGGGAGGCTACTTTAGTGGACACTAACTAAGTGTCTCTGGATGTCAAAACTCCAAAAGAATATGCCAAATCATTTTCCAACACCCTGCAACTGAAGTCATTGCACTACTCCTCTTATTTCTAAGAAAATAATCGTAATTGCCCCTATGTAAAGCAATGGGATCTTCCATGCAAGTGAGGTGGCTGCAGAGCAGTTTTATGCTATGCAATACATATAAATGCCAAAAATATATGTGATGATTTAAACACTTAGTGTGATAGCACTAATTTGACCAAGCATAGTGCAGAGTATAACAGCAGTTGTGGGTGTTCACTGTAGGCACTGATGCTGCCGCAGAGCATCAAACACAGTTGCATGGCATCTGAACAAAGAAGTTTGCTTAACGGGTCTGCACAATCAAAAGCCTACAACTCAACCCAAGAGAGCTGGAATTCCCTTCCACTCGGTGAAGCATCTGGCCTGATTGCTGGTGGCTGCTGATCACTGCCATGTCATCACTCTAAAGCCGTGAAACATCCCCGAGACCGTGTTAATTAGCTCCCCTTGCAAAGTGCTTAAGCCATAGAGTGGGTTACTCACGTGATGTCTCTGCGCTGGTAACAACCTTGAAGAAGGCAGGCGATCAGGTCGCTGATAAACTCCACATCATCCCTGTGAAGAGCAGCTTCCAGTTCCTATTGAGCAGAAAGGAGAGAGAAAAAAAAACCAAACAACCAATCATCAAACTAATTCCTTAAAATTTACTGCGAGCTCATCAGGACCAGAAAGACCCGAGCAGCCTCACATACATGTACAGCTGCAGAGTACACACTAAGGGAGCCGACCTTCCCCATCATTAAAAATACTGCTTCTAGTACCTCTCTTCATTGCAAGAGTTTATGGGAAGACCTTGAAAGGCTTTCACTGAATGTCAGTCTCCAGCCAGAAGACTAATGCTTTTGTCTGGATGCAGAAAAATAGGGTTCAGTGAGGTTGAGATACTACAGCCTAACAAGGAAGCCGTGATTTCTCCCATGTTCAGCTGATGGGCAGGAATCAACAGTTTCATTCTCCTGGTTTGGTTCCACTCACTGACACTGGTGAGTTCATTTAAAAAGTGTGCTCAGAAAGCGTGGCCCTAAAAGCCACTTACACAGAGAAGCAGCAGTTACAGATGGATTGCCAGAAATGGCTGAAAGCTAGCAAGCAAATGGCTCAAAGAAAAGCAAGCATTTTGATTCTTTAACTTAATTCTCTTTGGGTTACTTTTTTTCATAGTAAGAGAGAAAGAAAGGATGGAGGGATGTCAGACCTCATGACCCAAAGCCTCAACTCTTGATGAAGAGTATCGTGGTTTATTTCAGAACAATGGAGTTCAAATCAAGATGCAATGCAGAAACTGATTAATTACAGTTTTATTTGTATGCCAGAAAGTCATTCACAGTAAGTAAAATCCACTTTCTATAAGACTTATCATCAGTAGCATACAGCACTTAACAAGATTTAATATGGATAAACAACATAGGCATAAGAAGCTATTCTTTTTGGGTTTCAGAGTAAATAATGGATTGAATACAAATTTCTACTTGAATGTTACTCAACAGACTGTTACACAAATGGCTAAGCTAATGGCTACGGAATAAAGGTTAATGGCCAGAGAATAAAGGATAAACGTTTTGGCACTTACCCAATAAAGAAGAGAAAGTGCTTTTTTATTAGACCGCAGTAACTGCAGTAATAAAATTATTGATAACAGATTGCAGATTAAATGCCGCTTGTAGTTTTTTATTGGAAATGTATTAATGGCATATTTTCATTATCAACACTGCTCTTATTTACCTCTTGTGCAAGACCTGGAGTGCTTCACGAGCGGAAGCCTGACACCTGCCCCGTGAAGAATGTACTAAACACAGCTATTATGTGTGGAAACTCGAGGCAAGGAAAGGGCAGTGGGCAGGCAAAGCCTGACACAGCATCCCTGCCACAGGGCCAGGGAAAGTCCCAGGAATGTCTCTTCTGGCCTCTAGATGCTTAACGACAAGTTAATACAAAAACTGCAGTTGCTGCTTGCCATCCCTTGGAGAGAGTGATATTACTGTTGCATAAATAGTAATCACACTATGTAAATAGTAATTACAGAGCAAATTCACTTAGAATCGTAGAATATCCCGAGCTGGAAGGGACACGCAAGGATTGAGTCCAGCTCCTGGCCCTGGCTCTACTTACCACTTGGTAAGTGGTTAGTATTTGAGAGGTGTTGACTTACTTTACTTGTAAAATACTTTAGTGGACATCTGCCTTCTATAAATATACCGGGGGGAGAGGGGGGAGAATGGAGGACCTAAAGTATGTGATATGCTAAAATATCCCAGGTGTGTTACCACAGTACCACAATAAACTTGCAACTTGTGGAAAACGACATATTAGAACCCAGAATAAAGGGCAGGGGAAAGTAAGTCTCCAGGATGTTCTCTCTGCTCGGTTCAGCCTCTCCCTCATCCACATTACACTTGTGCATTAAAGCTGTCAGTCAGCAGTCTGCCTCTGCTAGGATGTGACAGCCTTTTGTATGAAGGAATATTTAAACTGCTTCCCGTGAGCCTTTTCAGCCTGCTGTTTGACTAACACTCCTTAAGCAGTGGCCACAACTGGCTCAGATAGCCCCTATCTGCAGCCATTGTTATCCAGGCCCGGGAGTGACCTTTACATTTTTTGAGTTGGCGGGTCATCCCAGGAGCCAGGGGACATTCCTAGGGCACTGGACAAGGTGCAGTCTCCTGGGCAGGGACTAAAACACCTGGCTGGGTAGTTTCCCCCATCTCTTGCTGCTTCCTTTCTCCTAGATGGGTGCTCTTTGTCCTTGTCTTCACAGCGGGGTGCAGCACCAATTTGGGGACCTGACACAGCTGCTGAGAGATCTCACAGCTGCTGGCTGACAGGGGCACTAGGCACACAGACCAACACGGGCCTGGGTGCAGTCCTGGTGCCACCCTGGGTTACAGGGCTCTGGCACAAGCCAGGATTAATCAGCACACGCATAGCATGGGGGGTAATGAGGGTCCATCCTTACCAGGCATGAGGCTGGTCAGCACCTCTGTGGAAAGACACTTGCACTGCACTCGCCAATGCCATGGGTGCTGCCTGGAGCCCATCCTGGTCCTCTGGTCCCTACCAGAGGAACACCCACTGCCAGCAGCTTATGGTACAGGCACAATCCAAGTATAACCATGATTAGTGGTCTTGGAAAAAAGATACTGACGTTGTCCTGTACTGTTTCTGCCTACATTTTTTCTATCACTGCTTGAGATAGGATAAAAGCAGTGAGAGGAACTTTAATTTCTCAAGGCTGGGTCCATTGGCCCTGTTTAACTGAATGTCATGATTTTCTATCCCAGTGGATTCTCCAGCTTCCTGTCCTCAAACACCTAATCCTGGACTTCCTGCACACACTCAGGGTGCTGTGGGAATGACAGGGACACCAGGAAGATGTGAGGCAAATTTTAAAATCTCAGGACCGCAAACAAAGAGTTAGCATCCTCTCAGGTTTTCACCTAACACTTTGGCCCACATTTTGCAAGGGGAGGAATCAACTTTGTTTTTCCAGTCCTCCCCTCCAACAAGGGACAGCCAGCAAAGCAGCACGGTCCTGGAGTGGCACATCTGAGCAGGCCAAAGTGATACCAGGTACCCTCAGGAGAAAGCAGCCACCAAACCCCCACCCCTGGTCCTGAGGGCAAACCCTGCCCCAGTCACCCATCCCCACACTCCTCCAGCCTGGCTGGGGCGAGCGGCTGGGCTTCCTCCCCACCACCATCCTCCCCACGCCTCCAATCCTTTTGTTTTTCCCCTTTTCTCTTTGAGCACTGAGCTGTGAGCACAGAAATCTGAACCTTGCCAAAACGCTTTGGGGACAGCACAGAAAGGAAACAGAAGAGGCAGCAAATCAGCAGAGGAAGGGGGGGACACACATCTCCTCCTCCTCTAGCTGGAGAGAGCAACAGACAGGAGAAAAGCAGGATTCTCCCCCTCTCCAGCTGGCGTCACACCTCATTAGGGAAAAGCCTGTTTAACGTCTTTCCCTCCCCCCAGCCCGGTACTAAATCCCCCCTGAGTCAGGCAAGGACTGTCGGGAAGAAGCAGCCGCCAGAGCAAGGCTGGGAGCAAGGGTGACCACCTCTCCCAGGAGGAGCACTGGCCCAGTGCAGGGTTAGCAGGGGCGGGTGAGAGGGCACCAACCTATCCCTCCCCACTCCCTGGGAAAATAGCTGGCAGGGGTGGGCTGGAACAGAAGGGCCCCCTGCCCAGTGCCTGCTGCCCCACACCAGGCACCCTGGCAGGTATGGTTAACCCCACTGGCTGGGTCTGAAACAAATGTGGCTCCCCCAGAGCTGCTGTGAGCATGGATTCAACTCCAACATCACCTGCATTTTGTGGCAATCACTACTTCACTCATGCCCTTGACAGCACAGAAGTGCTGTGGCTTCAGGACATGTGGTGACCCAATCCCCACACCCCACTAAGTATATGCCTTTTTGGTATCTGCCCTGATTTTTGAGAGGAAGGACAGTCAACTTTCTGGATAAAAGTCCACAAATGAGTCCACAGCACTGACACCACCAACTGTCACTAACCCAGTGCAGAGGTGATGGGGGTGGGGGGCTGCTGCACACACTGGCTTTTTGAACTATGGAAAGCAGCCATCCAGCTTCCAGCTCCTGGCAAGCTGTTTGCTCAGGGGGCAGCCTCATGAAGTTTGGAGCCTTCATTTCAGAAGACAGGCTCCTCCCCAGTGTGAGCAGGCTATGTGCTGAGGTAAAGGACTACAATTTAAAGGCTTCCTCTGTGCTGGAGCTGAATCATCTATAACCGAATCTGATGGACATAACCAGTTTAAGCACAGCTAAGCCTTGTCCAAGTTAGCCATCAGTTTAAAAACCCCAATCCCTTCATCTCTACTTCCATACCGCTGCCGTTATCAGCTTTCCATTGCAATGCTCCCAAGTGACTCAATGGGCTTTTGTAGAGGCTTTAGGAGATCACGGAGAGCCACCACCCGGATGTGCTGAGCCAACCCCAGCCCATGCGCTGAAATTTCTGACTGAGTTGAGTCAGAATGTTCTTTTCCCCTCACAGATAATTAGTGACAACAAGTACCTGGGCAAAAGTTTGGCAAACCCATGCCAAAGAGTACCAGGATCGGGCAGGAAGATGGGAAGTCAACTGCAGGTCTGAAATGCTTCCAAAAAGCACTATTTATCCCCATCAGTATAAAGCCACTGTGCGTGCTCCCCGTCTCTGGTAAGGAGCTCCTGCTGCCCTCCCCACCAAGGAGCCAGTTGTCCCAGGGGGACACAGAGACTTGGGGAGGGGCCACTGTTCCTCCCAACACATCCCAGAGAGCAAAGCATAGCAACCTCCTTTTGGCCACAGAACACACCCAGCCACCAATTCACCCAAAGCAGCATCAGAAGGCTGTTGCAATGAATAGCAATGTCCTGCTGGACATGAACCTGGAGCTGAGGGGATGGGACCCAGCTACACCATGAGCCAGTTCCTCTGCCAATCCCCACAACTCAGTTTGTTGGTCTGTCAGTGTGCTCAGCCCCTAGGACATACTCAGCATGCCTGAGAAACACAAGCCCCCACCCAGCAGCCAGCATGCTGCCTGCAGCCCAGTGCCACATTCTTCCTGCTT